CCCTCCCCTCTTTCCCCCCCCTCGGAATAAAGCCCCCGCGAGCCGGAGATGGATGGCTTACTCTGCCCGACCAAATGCCGCTTTTGGAACGTTTTTTTCCTCTGGAGCCTTTGGGGGGACTACTTGGGGTCTGTCTGGGGCTGCCCGGCCAACTGCGTCTGCAACAAGACCGAGATTGATTGTACCAATCTGGACGATGGCACCCTCTTCCCCCTCCTGGAGGGGCAGGACTCGGGCCCCAGCAACGGGACCGCCAGCAGCATCAACATCACCGACATCTCGAGGAATATCATGTCCATGTAAGTCGCCTGGCGCGGCCTCGTTCTCCGCTCTCTCGCCTCCCCCCCTCCCTCCCCCCCCGGCGCTGGGCATTCACACGTCCATGTGGCGTTTGCAAAGGAGGGGAGTACCCGCTCCGTACGTGTGCATTGTGTATCAGGTGCCTATCCCGTGGCTGTGTGTGGGAAGCGCACGGGGCCGTAGCACTGCACACTGCGGATCTCCCCGTGCCTCTGTTCGGAAATTGTGCAGAGAGGAGGAGGAGGAGGAGGGGGGGGGGAGGCATCACCTCCCCCCTCCCTCTGTTGGAAAAAGCAACAGTTAGGACTGGGGACTGGCAAGAGCTTGGAAGTCGATGAGGATTTGTTGGCATCCCTGAAGGGAAAAGTCGAGGCTGTGGCAGGCATGTAGGAGGAGATCATGAATATCCCTAGTTTGTTTTAGCTGCGAGATGCTGTCTCTCTCTTTTTGGGAGATTTACAGTCCTCCCAGGATGGAATTTCTCTCCCTTTCTTCATGCTGTGGGAAACCCCCCCCATCTGTGTCCTCGCTGTTTTTTGAAAGACCTGGCAGCTTCTCCTTTAAGCATATATATTTTGGAAATAGGACAGAGGGAGAGACCGATCTCTTGTTCAGGCTCAGAGTCAAAATGTTACATTCTCTCTCCCCCCCCCCTGCAGCCTCTCTGATGCTGAGATGTCTTTCCTTTCCCCATGCATGTTTTGATCTCAGTGTGGCTGGGGTGAGGGTTGTTGAAACAGAGATATTTTTAGTGGAGTTCCCCCCCCCCCCTTGTGTGCTTGTTTATCCGGAAAATCAACTCCGGGTAGCTTTAGCCTTGTTAGGAGATACTGGTGGTTAGACCCCATGCAAAATCCCATCAGCCCTATAGATGGAGCCGGCCAAAGACTACCCGCTTTTGCTTCCCACCCCTACGTCCTACCTTCATCCAACTAAGTCTTAATCATGTGTATCTTTTTTTTTTTTTAAATCCCATCTCTATTCAAATCTCTGTATTTGTGGCGATGTTTTCGGTAAAGCATACTAGAGCGGAGGGGGCGGGGAGTGTGGATGGGGTTAAAACTCTGAGATATTTCATTAGCCTGATGCTAATTGAAATGGGAGTTCTGCCCCTTGAGGAAGTTGCATGTGGGAGTCCAAATCAGGAATGGGGGTGGGTGGGGGTGGGATTCTACATTTTTGGCAGTCATACACTGCGAGGCCAGGAATGAGTAATAGGGAAAGGGGTTATTTATTAGCTACAAATATTTCAGAAGAACAAGAGACTTCACAGGAGGCACAGGGTGGGGGCTGGGAGCATATATACTGGAAATGGGAAATAGCATCTTTTGCCCCCCAGGGGGCAAAATTGGGCAGAATGTTAAACCTTAACTCTCTTTGGATAACTGTCTCCTCGTCATATAGTATGATGGGTTTGATGCTGGGCTGAGTCTGGTGTTTGGCGGGCTATCTGGAGTGTCGCTGCATATTTTCCCGGGGCGGTTAAGGAAGGATCCCCCCTCCCCTGCCTTGCAAATAAGGACACTGGAGTTACAAGAGGACAGAAATGGTTACTACCCTCACCAGACAGGGATGACTTGAAGGGTTGGACGGGACCCCAAAGCCAAAAGTCTTCCAGTTGACAAGGCTCCATCACCTGGAGCCCGTTTTTCTTTGCCCCGGGGCAAAGAGCCATTCGGAAGCCCACCTTGCTCCATATATATAGATGGCTGTTTTCTTTCCAGCCGGCCTGTCACTCAGTTGACCTCTTTGCCAAATTTTCTCCCGAGGTACCAGAACAGCTGACCCAGTGCCACACTTCCAGATTCATCCCGCTTCCTCTAGTACTAAGAGGTTTCAGGGTAACAATAGGAAAAGTAAGAGAAAGTGTTTCTTTGCCAGCTGGTGTCTTTGGCCTTTGAACCCCTGGAGAGCATCTTCGAAGGCCAGGGAGAAGGTAGTTAAGCCTTCCAGGCATTTAGTACATGTGTATTTAAGCCAGTGTGTCTATATCATCGACTGAACTGCTGGGGGAGATATGATTATGCGAATCTTTTGTATTGGGAAAATGACTTTACTGCTCTGAAAATGTTGATCAAGCTATAGGTGAAGTAAGAGGAAGACCCTCTCAAATTCCATAATAAAGCAAAGGTGTCATCCCCCCCTCCCCCCAGAAAGAGCGATTGAATTCAAGTGTGTGTGTTTTTAAAAAGTTGGATAATGGTATGATGTTGTCAGGGCTGCTGAAAGATATTCACGATCCAGTTAGAATAAGCGTATCTTCTCCTTCCCAGGCCTTTGCCAAAGAGCTATGAGAAACTCAAGGCAGATGCTTCTTATACAAATATTTGATTGTGCAATTGTGGCTTGGAAGTTCAAGCTGAAAACAAAACTCTTATTGGGCATGCACATTCTACTTTTGATGTGGGGGGAGGAAGAGCAGCTCTTTAAATATCCCTAGGAAGAATGTATAGAGGGCAGCAAGGCTATTGGTGGCTGTCAACCATGACAGCAGAATAGAGTCTCCATATTTGAAGCCAGAAGCAGATTTGGGGAGTAATGGGGGGTTGCTTTGGTGCCTTGTTCATAAATTCCAAGGGGTGTCTGGTTCGTCACTTATAGGGAGCAAAATACTTGACTACATGGCTCTTTTGGTCTGATCCATCAGAACTTCTTAAGTTCTCATATCTGTTATCTGTTTGTTTCTGCCATCTTTGATACAATAATATTCCACAGGGACTGAGCAGTAAACTTCACTTAGAGAAGCTCTTAGAAGAACTCTGCAGCACTGAGACAGCTGGCTGGATTCACAGAAAATGAGCAAGGACCACCACATTCTTTCCTTGGTTTTGCGTTTAAACTCCCATGCCTTATTTATCTAGTGATATTTTTTAATGAGCGGGCAAGGGCCAAATGAACAGGGTGTGTTGGGTAGAATGCAAAATCCCAGTTGGCCAGACTTTCTTGTGAAATGGCAGTGAGACTGATAACAAGAGCGGCTTGGACAAAATCCTATAGAGCCCTCCTGGGTTCATGAACTGTGCAACATGGAATAGGCCGTTCACAGGGTAAAATTGGGCTGCTGGCAGATGGTGGAGGTCTTGGAAGCTTTTTGCAAGAAGTGAGGAATCAAAGTGATGCCCTCCCTTCCCAAAATATCCCCTATTCATCTTGACTAATGATTAGCCCCCAGAAATAGAGGTGGGAGGCAGGAAAATGGCACCCCCCCAAGTTCAGTGGCATAAACCAGGTAGCTTCATAGAACTTACTTAATACGACAGGACCTGGGTGGGAGGGACCAGAAAAATGGGCCCAGCATCCTAGTGGGGGAGGCCTTCAGTAAGCAAAGGGTTAAGTGTCTGGGGTGCTGTTTCAGGTAGGGTTGTCAGTTCTGGCATGGGAAATTCCTGGAGATTTGGGGGTGGAACCTGTGGAGTGGGGAATCTGGGGGTTGATTTCACCTAGAATCTATGGTGCACCATAGACTCTGCCCTTCAAAAGTGACCATTTTCTCCTGGGGAACTAATCTCTGTAGACTGAAGATCAGTTGGAATTCTGAGAGAACTCCAGGCCCCACCTGGAAGCTGGCAACCATAGTCAGGATACTGTGTGGCTAGCCTTGCAGAAATTGATAATGAAACTATTGGCTATGATGCCCATTACGTGTGGAGACTGAGCAGTGCTGGCTGGTTGAGAGCTCAATTTTTTGCCACATTATTGATGGCAGTGGAGCCAACCAGATGATCAATGATGGTGTTGAGAAGGTAGGAGGGTGGTCCCCTCGTGTCCTACCAGAAATCTTAAAGACCCCAGATATTGTGCTTTTGGTGTGATTTTGGTTTCTTCCTCTTCCTCTTAGGAAAGTTGGTACAAGGGCTGGAAGAAAAGGCTTATTTGATGTGGGAAATGCTGGATTGACTTCTAGCCAAAACTCTGCTTAGTAGAAAAAGCCACACTATTCATGGGAGTTCAGGAAGCTGCCATGCATCCTTCATTGTGCCGGGATCTCTCTGCAGCTGAGAACCAACCCTCTCCAGCTGCCAAGCTGTGTAGCTATCGGAGAGATGGCAGGAAGCAGCCAGGTATCCTGCTGTCACGTCTGGATCCATTTCCGCTGAGAATCCCTTCCCAAAGAAACAGTTGTCCTTTTGTTGGCATTTTTTGAGGGGGTTTTGAGTCCTGCCCCCAAGGAGGATGATCATGGCTCATGCAGGACAAAACCATGAATGGATCTGGCCCCAACTGTGGATACTTGGATATGGAGACTGGGTCCATGAACAAGACAGACCTTTCTACAGATCGGGGGGGGGGAACCCTCCAGGCTTTGATAAATAAATAAAACTGGAGATCAGCCTCCCCCCAACAATAGAAGCACGGCCTGTATGGAGCTTTAAGAAATGAACACCCTCTCAGTGCTGTTGTGGGGGATTGCTAGGCAACAACAACAGTATTGTCAGTAAAAGAAAGGGGGGCAGGTCCCTTTCCAGAACTGTTTTGCCTTTTGAGGGGCGAGTCATTGGGTCCAGGCCCAGCATCAACCACTGGGCGACTTGCTACCCACCCCACTTGTATGAGTCACACACAGGGCTATTTTTGTAGAAAAAGCCCAGCAGGAACTCATTAGCATAATAGGCCACACCCAACAGAAAAACATTTGCATATTAGGCCACACCCCGACAGCTCATTAGCATATTAGGCCACACAGCCCTCGTTACCAGAAGTGTGGTCATCCAGCCACACCCACCTTTTGCTTCTTATTCTGTTTACCTTGTTTGTTGTCAACACCCAGAGCTTTTTTGAGCAGGAACTCCTTTGCATGTTAGGCCACACACCCCTAATGTAGCCAATCCTAATGAGTTTCTGCCATTGGGTGTGGCCTATTATGCTAATGAGTTCCTGCTGGGTGTGGCCAACTCGGGAGCCAGACGGAACTGTGTTCCTGTGCGTTCCTGCCCAAAAATAGCCCTGGTCACACAGGCCCTGATGCTGGCTGCTTTTCAACAGTAACCACCTCATGTAA